GAGCGGGCCCAGTAACGTCTCCATTGGAGACTTTGTTGTTACTGTGTCTGGCATATCCAATACTCTCGGTAGCTTGCCGGGCTCTCCGAGAGGGGCGGAGAAATCGAACTCGGGTCGGCCATGTTGGCCGCTTGTAAGGCGAACGCCCTACCCGCTGTGCTATCGCTCCAGCCCACTTATGACAGAACCATAATACACATATGTACATGCACGTAGACACACATGTACACAACACATGCACAGAGGTACATATACAAGCACATACATATACACACATGTAGATGTGTAGGTGCATGCATACACACATGAGCGTACACACATATGCACACATGCACACCAAAGAGCCACACATGCATATACCCTCATATATGTGCATATGCACACACCAGAAGCCACACATACACATGCACACACAAGCACACATAGACACACGTACACACGTGTACCAGACACACCTGGGGCCTTCTGTTTAGACTGGGGAATTAGAAGCAATGGCAGCGCTGGTAAGCGCTCGGCATATGCAGTCGTAACTTTTATTTCTATTTTTATTAGTATCGCCCAAGGTAATCACAGTCTCGGAGCTGAGAACTCCCTTAGGTGTCTTTCTATTCTAAAATCCTATTAATTTACATGACATTTCACACCCAAAGGGTTTTAACAGATGACATCCATAATTTCCCCGTGAGTGATGGGGGTGCAGAGCAGACTGAGTCAGGGGTGGGGGCTCAGGTGGCCACAGCCCTTTGATGTGATCCCAGAGGCGGGGAGGGAGGAGGGCTCCCATAGCCATATTCCGCACTGCCACCTCCCTCCAGCGTCTCCTGGAAGGGACCGGAACATCGTGCAGTCCTTCCGAGGATCAGCCAGTCTGCCCTGCCCCACTGCCCCGGGCTCGGCCGAGTCTGTTCACTGCATTCCCACAGCAGCATGGGCCTGACGCCTGCGGCTCCTTCCTCACTCCATGCTGAGTGTGGTTGTGCACGGGATGGGGGGTGATCTGAGGTCACGGGGCCCTCTCCTGCTGACCTGCCTGGGTCCTGGTGTGTCCATGGCAGGTGTGACAGAGTTGGAAGGTGACCTAAACAGGCCGCGGCACTGAGGGGGCTGTGGACCCTCCTGTGGAACCAGGGGGCGGGGCCAGCAAGCTGTCACCTCCCCTCTCTGTGTGTGCCCCGGGCCAAAGCTCCCACAATGCACTGGACACTAGAAGCCAGAGCGCTGGCTCGTGGCACCCAGGAAGGCCCTGACCCCGGCAGGCCAGTGCCCCTCAGTGTCTGCCGCCATCCACGGGTGTGGGAAGAAGTGGCATCAGCTTCCCAGAACCCAATTCCCAGCTGTGCCAGCCCAGCACGGGGACACAGAACAGATAAGGAAATGCAAGGCCGGGGGAAGACTATAGTGCCTTCCCATCTTTCCATCTTCCGTCCCCTTCTCTCCGCCTCTGCTAGGCAGATTTCTACGTGGGCTTAAAAACCCAATTCTGATGGTGCCCCTTCCCAAAAGCTTTCCAGATGGGGCCATTTGCAAAGGCCACAGGGGGTGCCAGGGCAGGCCTGCAGAGAATCGGGACTCCCACGGGAAGTCTCTCTGGGACCCGGGCTCCCTCTGCCCAGACCCCAGGCTGTGGTACAGACCACAAGGACACCTGCGACTCGGTCCTGTCCCCCTGGGCCTGTATCGCCTCGCCACGAAGATGATCCTGCCTCCATCCCTGACCGCTTCTGATTTCTCATCCGAGTGCTGGCCAGGCATCCTCGGGGGTCGTGGTGGACTGCAGGGGTCCTTCCTGGTCTCTGCCCTACTTTGTGCTCAGAGAACTGGAATCCCTGTTTTCAGGTGGGTGCTGGTTCCCTGGGATTCACTTGCTGCTGAAACTGCCCTGAGGATCGAAGCGGAGTGCCGGGAAGCTTCAGAGAAAAGCCGACAGGCAGGAGGGGCAAGAACGTCTGGAGCTAGAGCCGCTGCCCTCAGCCTGGTGGGGTCTCAGGTACAAGACGAGAAAACAATGAGCACAAACAGAAGGAACTCAGAGCCAGAATGCTCCGGAGTCACCCAGGCAGAGGGAAATAATTCCCAAGTTCAGGCCATTTTGCGGTTTCCTATTTCATGTTCATTTTGTTTGTTTGTTTTGGGGCCACACCCAGCTGGTACTCAGGGGTGATTCCTGGTTCTGCACTCTGGGATCAATCCTGGTGATGCTCGGAGGACCCTATGGGATGCCAAGGACCAAACCCGGGTCGGTGGCGTGCAAGGCAAGTGCCCTACCTATTGTACTATTTCTCCAGTCCCTTATTTTACGTTCTTAAAACGTTCTTATGTTCCAGGACCTAAGTGTGCTGTTTCCTTCCCTGAGATGTACTTCATTCCCCGCTTTAGACCTAGGTAACTCTGTTTAGCTTTGTAAGACCCAGTTCTGGTATCAACAGTAAGCAGCCACCCTAGGGTGACCAGAAAGAGGTGTCTCTGGGGAGCGATCAATTAGACCGGCATCCACGATTTCCTGAGCTCCCAGCTGTAGAGCATTTACACAGAATGTCTACATGCGCGCGCGGACACACACACACACACACACACACACACACACACATACACACCCTCTCACTGTGCTCCATTCTGACTTAATTCTTGATAATGAGGCAGTTAGTTATCAGCCCCGGGCCGAGGAGGCTGAGGCAGACTGCTCAAGGTTAAACGTGGGAGGTGAACGAGGGCTTGGCAGTGCCTTGTCTAGCAAACCCAAACTGTAGCACGGGTACGGTCTCTGACCTCTGTTGGGGTGGGGTTCAGGGGGCAGTGCAGGAAAGCCAGCCAGGTGCAAACCCCATAATGATACAGCCGGGGGTGCGCGCCTGCAGGAAGCCCCTCTCCTGGTGCTGGGCTCTGAGGGTGTCAAGGGATGCCCGGGCTGTAGCCAGGGGCAGGGACGACAGGAGGGGCATGGGGTGGGCCAGGCAGCTGCCGCACACAGATGCTGCACCACACCGTTCAAGGACAGACAACCTCTGGCAAGAGCAGGGCACAGGAGGTTCCCCAGCTGCCAGAAGCCGTACGCGCTGTCCTAGGTGCCTGCGAGTTAGTGCAGCCGTCTCCCCGGCAGTGGGCACAGGGCGCCAGCAGGCTCAGGGAGGCAGCACACGCATGTCTGTGGCAAACAAGTGATTTTTCTACTTAGTTATATATGGGGGAGGGGAGAACTATAAAATCATATTATATATCATTAAATAATGATATGATCTCCTATTATTAGGGAGGAGAGCAGAGGAACTGCTGACAGAGATGAAGCCACAAGGGCTCAGGGACCCGTGAGCTGGCAGGGCAGAGCTCACCAAAGCAGAGCAACACGCAGCAGCCCCGGAGATGGAAAAAGCCACGCCGGGACCAAAAAAAAAAAAAAATCATGGTAATAAAGCATGCCTAGAAACGCCTGCAGGGAAGTAAGAGGAAACAAACCTGTGACTGCATCAAGCATCTTAACAAGATGAGTGGCACTGGCTGGGGCGCAGGGGTGCAGGGTGCCCGGGAGTGCAGACACAGAGGTCGGTCGGAGCCACGTGCTGGTCTGGAGACCCCATGCCCGGCCCGGCTATACCGCCACGATGCTGGTGGTGGAGACCCTTGGCTGCACCTAGCAGCCACGCCAAGACCTTTCTGTCCCCATTTCCCCCTTGCCCACGCCTGGCATGGGTGGAAGACTCGGGGCACGCAGGGCTGCTGTCTCTGTTCCCTTGGTTTCACACATCTGCCACCTGGGGCAGACGAGGGGCCTCTGAGGACCACCCCACCAGAACCCCCTGACTGAGAAGGGGCCTTGGCCCAAGGTTTCCAGTCAGGCTCCAGGCCCCCGCTGAGAAGACGCGCCTATCAATGTGGCATGGCTGAGTCCTCAGTGCGTCCCAGATGTGAGCCCGGCCACTTCCGTCCCCAGGAAGGAACAAACCAGGGCTCCTGGGGGCAGCTCGGGCATGCTAGGGGCTGGTGAAGGCCACACACCCCTTCCTCTGCGGCCAAGAACAGAATCTGAGAGAGAGAGAGAGATGGCCGCGTTCTGTACTCCACGCACCCAGGGGTGGCCGCGGATGACAGAGTTCCACCTTACTTAGCCCTGCATTTTCTGCCTGCAATGACACTGGTCTGACGGACAGATGGAAGGACAGATGGATGGAGGATGGCCCTGCCGCTCGCTGCTCAGCTCCTTCTCTGGTCTCAACGTCCCCCCTCTGTAAGCAGGAACATGAATAGGGGCACCCAGGAGACGCAGTAAGTGGTGTCTGGATCTGACACCCAGGGGTCGTGGGGCCCGAGGTTCTGCTCCCCATGGCGCGGAAAGCCTGGACCATCGCTGTGGGTTTCTGTCGCTCCTCTGTCCCTGAGCGTTAGAGGCTTCCAACGCCTTCTGGCCTGACACCCCCTTCCCACCTCAAAGACCCAGCGCCAAGCGGGCCCGTGCGCAGGGTCACCACCCGGTCCCATTGCAGGCTCGTGTCGAGGCCACCGGGGAGTGAACTCTCCCTCTAGAGTCCCCCACCCCCATCCTGACCCCCTCAGGACAAAACTCGCTTCTTAATAGCCCTCTGTCCACTGCTCAGAGAGCCCCTGTCACCTCCATAGACTCCTGCTGGCGGAACCCCTCGGGGCAGCAGCCAAGTCCCTGAATCAGAGTCTTCCCGCAGCCCACCCTGAGGAGAGAGTGCCCCACCCCAGAGCAATCAGGGCACAGAGAGGGCTCAGGAGCGGGAACGGGAGGTGGAGAGGGATAGGGCAGGGGGGGGGGGGGTGCAGGAGCCAGTTCAGGCCCGGGAAGGAGCGCTGAGGCCTCTGGGATGAGTAGACGCAGCTGGGCCCTCACCCCCAGAGCTGCACACTTTGTCACCCAGACACCAGGCTGCTCCTGGACCCGGGGGTGGCCAGAACTGAGCACCTGGAGGGGAGTCTGAGCTGCTTCTCCTCTGGGGCGGCCCCACCCCCTCTCCCCCAAGACCCCAGGAGACAGGCACACTCACCTGGGAACTGGTAGCCATAGCTGGGAGCGAATCCCGGGTAGCCGCGGCCATAGGTCGCCACGAAGTTGGGGTAGCCTGGAACACAGAGAAAGGCCACGAGCCATCAGTGTGGGTGCCACAGGGTTGGGGAGGAGCAGGGGTGTGGGGCAGGGGTATGGACAGGGGTGTGGGGCAGGGGTGCAGGGCAGGGGAGTGCTGCAGGGGTAGGGGCAGGACAGAGGTGTGAGGAGGGGAGTGGGGCAGGGGCAGGGATGTGGGGGCTGGACTTCGCTTCCTCTGTAAAATGACCCGTGAGGGTCTTTACTCAGACTGGCTCACCTGTCTCTGGGGGCTGGGGCCACGGTAATTAGCCCGTATCTGGGCAGGAGAGACCCCCCAGCCCCACGCCCTGCAACCCTCTGCACTTTCTTGAACCCACAGAGTAAATGCCAGGTTTCCGCGCCCAGCCCAGGGCGCCTGTCCCTGACATTTGGAGAGCTTCCCTGTGATGTACTTTTCCTTAGAGCTATCGACAGGAGGAGATTAAGGTCCTTAGGGCCTCCCCTGGCAGGGCCGCCCCAGGCCAAAGCTGGGGGGCGGAGGCATCCCAGTTTGGCCTGGGAACTGTGAGGTGGAGTCAAGGCCCAGGAGAGGTGGGCCAGGTATTCCCAGGAGCAGGGACGTGAAGGGGGTCTTGGTGCTTCCTCCAGACCCAGGAGGACAGGGAGGGGCCTGGGCGGGTAAAGTGGCCCAGAAGCCCTCACTCTGGGTACTAACGGTCCTTTGCACACGCTCTGATTTTCTGAAGGGTTCCGCAGGTAACAGGTGTGGGCGGGGGGTGGTGGTGGTGGGAAGCCTGGCTGGCTCGGCACAGAGATTATCCCCCCAACACAGTGTGATGAGGGGATGGCACCAGGAGCCGGTTGCGCGGGAGATGCTCCATCAGCCCTGGAGGTGTCCACTAGGGCACAGCCCAGCCACTTCTAGGGCCCCGGTCACGATGGCAGCTATGGTTCTGTTCGCTGCCGGATTCCACCCCGGCAGGCTCCCACAGCTCCCTGAAGCCTGCCATGGAAACCTCGATGATTCATGCTCTTGAAACACCATCTGGGATGGGGATACAGCGAAGTGCTGCGCGTGAGGGGGCGCCGGGCTTAGTCCCTGACAGCTGGGAGCGGCTCTCCAAGATTCACTGGCAAAAGAATACCCCAACACACAGGCAGTCTCACACACACACACACACACACACACACACACACACCATACAACCAACAAATTGGCCAGGCCAGCTGGTACCGCTCCCAGCAGCTAGACTTGCTCTGTTCCGAGATCCACGTCTGTGCCTGCTGGGGGCTGCCCCGTGTCTGTAGTGCCTGTGCTGAGCTGGGGACATGGGCTGCCACCTGGGAAACAGCAGAGTGTCCTACTCTGGCAGAGGTGGGTAGCAGGGTCCTGGCCCCACAGAAGCTGAACTCTGGGACCCACATCTGGGTTCGAGGTGCAGGGGAGGGGAGGGACGGATTCAGCATGAATATCCTCATGGCAGCAGAGCCCAGTGCCAGGTGGCGGTGAGAGCGGGCCCTGGCTGTGCCATGAGGGCGGCTGGCATTCTGGCCACCCAGGCTCTGTCTCCCTAGCAGCGGAGGTTCCCACCCCACCTCCTACCTGCAAGGTGACAGTCTCGGGGTGACCACAGGCTACAGCTCCCAGGACACCTCGTGGCTTCCCAATTCCCGGCCTGCAGGTGAGGCTGAAGGGGATGTGGACAGCCCCACCCGTGGTCCAGGACGTGCTTTTCCCTTCCTCTGGGGTCTCGCAGCACCCTCGTGGCACCGAGAGGCCTCTGTGCTCTCCTGAGATGAGCTTCGCAGCTCCACAACTGCCACCAACTCACTGTGGCCACTCCTTGACCACCAAGGGCCCGGCCCCAGCTCCCTGCAGGGTGTTCCTGCCCTGCTTCCCAGACCTCATGGGGGTAGGGAGTATGGCCCCACACCCAAGGAGCCGGTCCCAAGTGTGACCCGAAGGGGTAGAGACGGAGACGTGGACCCTCACCCCCCCAGCGAGCGCCTGGCTCGTTCCCGGTGTTTATTTCACGGCTGGCCAGCTCCACTCGCCTCCAGATTAATCACCTGCTATCACATCAGACCCCTCAGCATTAGATTTCATCTACCATTATTTCAACAATATTGATAAACGGATTATATGCAAACAGCCACATCACTGCTGCCGAGGGGCTTTAGGGATGAAAAATGACTCCTTCGCTTCTCACTTCTGCACTGGGGGCCTTAAATATTTCAGCATTAATCTGCCGGCAGGAGCGGAAGCCATGTGTCGCCTCTGGAGGCCCTTGGGCTGGGGGTGGTGGGGGGTGGACGGGTAGGGGCCCAGTGCCCTGCTGACTCCGGCCGCCTGACAAGTTTCTGAGAGCCACGGGCTTCCAGGCAGACCCCCAAAGCTTCCCACCAGCAGGAAGAAAAGTACAGCCGAGGGCACCCCAATTCTGGGCCTCACCCCAGTCCTCCTGGAAGTGTCAATAATACCTCCAGCACAACAAATATGAAGGTCTAGCATCCGCGCCAGAGTGCGGGGGGGGGGGGTGGGGGTGGGAGATGATCTCCCACACACCCCCAGCCCCCCATGGAACATCCTCTGGGTCAGGCAGATGAAATCATAAATTTATAATACAACATTACTTCAATTTTCCTCTTCATTTACTGCTCTGCAGCCGAGCTCTGCTCCAGCGGCTCTCGGCCCTGGCCACGCGGGGGAAATTGGCTGGCTGCATATCAATAGCACATTACAGCAGCCCCGTGCGGCCACACCATCAAGCCACATTACCGAGAGATGCCCCAGCTACCGTGCGCATTAGCAGCTGGGCCCCGCCTGCCCGGCCACTGCACAATTTATCTGCTCCAGTACTCGGGACGGCTGATCAATCCCATAGTCATTATCTCTTGTCACCAAAGGAAAAGAAAAAAAAAATGAAGGCTTCTGGCTGGATGGCTACCTTTCTCGTTGAGAAGCTTTCCACGGTGGCTGGGGAGAGAAATACCGAGATCGACAACAGAATTGCAATCCTCCAGCCGGCCTCCCTCCCGGGCTAGTAACCTGGGCGGGCGGGGTGCTGAAAATCGTGGTTCTCATCTCTGCTCCAGACCCAGGAGGTGTCTGCTTTCTGGTAAGGAACTTGACTCTCCTTTCAGAGTCACTGAGAAGTGCTCGCTTCTGCTTTAAAGAGGTGCAGCAGGGCTGTTTATCCAGCACACTGCTGGGTGGGATGGATCGGCTGCACGAGACAGCAAGCACACACGCAAACACAGCATGAACACATGCCCAGGCTGTGAGGCCAAGGCTCTCAATCAGGGGGCTCGGCCCCCAGTCACAGACAAGAAGTGACAGGGGCTCCTTCAGGCCTCTGCTGTCCCAGTTTCAATTTACTTCTATTTAAATGAGAAATAACAACAAATTTTAGTTTCTTGGGATGGGGTGGGGTGCTCCCTTAAAATGCTCATGCCTGTGGGCACCATGGAGGGAGGTGCAGAGAGCGGACCATTAGGCTGCCCTGGGAAGGTCTACCGACTCTCTGTGTGCTCCCAGAAGAAAATCAGAGAGCTGAATTTTGGAATTCCTCTGACCACCAGGAAGAAGCTGAAGTCCAGGAGAACCCCTGGGCAATGAAAACAATAAATATTTGGGGGGGACAGACAACCTCCTAGCTGAAGACACAAATGAACCTAGACAAGTGGCTCTACAGGCCAGCCAGCGCCTTGGGGTCTCCCACCAGGGTCCGCGGGCCAATGCCAGCAGAGCCTTTCTGCCATCACACCTGAGGGCCAAATGGAGGGAAAACATGATCAGGGGGTCCCAGGGTGCCTGGGCACAGACCACAACAAGAGGGTCTGGCTCTCAGGGCTTCCTGCCTCTGGCCTGCCGGGCTACTGCCTTTCTTACTTTTTTTTTTTTAAAGGCCTGAACACTGAGATATTTATTTCTCTACCACTGGTATCAAGCATGCTAAATAGCGGGTGCTCAGTGAGGTCATAAGAGTTAAAGGCTGAGGGATTATGTGGCCGAGAGCAGAGAAGGCCAAGCGGAATCAGATAGATCAGCTGTAATCATGTGTTTGCTTTTATTAAGGCCACTTTCATTAGGAAAAACCAACAGGATGCTCGTGCATTGAGCCGGTAGTGGAGGGGCCCCTCTCTGCTGCTGCGGGCAGAGACGAACAGAGTCTGAGCCCATACTGGGACCTCTCCCAAAGGTCTCTGTGAGTTCGGTCGTGTCCGCTCGAAGGCAGGGGTCTGTGGGTTGACCCCTCCCCTTTGCTCCTAATTTTTTTTTTTTCTTTATGGATCACATCTGGCAATGCTCAGGGGTTACTCCTGGCTCATGCACTCAGGAATTACTCCTGACAGTGCTTGGTGGTCCATATGGGATGCTGGATATTGAACCCAGGTCAGCCATGTGCAAGGCAAACGCCCTACCCGTTGTGCTATCACTCCAGCCCCCTAATTTTTTTGCTGTTGTTGTTTGGAAGGGAAACGGAGGTATGGATCATACCCAGTGGTGGTCCCGGGGCAGTGCTCCAGGGACCATATGTGGTACCAGGGATTGAACTGGGGTTGGCCATGTGCAAAGTAAGCCTTACCCCTCTGTGTGCTCTCTTTGGCCCCAAGCTCCTACATTCTTTCTTGGCAATTCCTCCACTGCCCACTGTTCCATGATGGTGTCTGAGGCTGTAAAGACTGAAAGGAGGGTCATGCCAGTGTGTCTGCCCCTCGGGAGAGGTGAGGAATGCCCAGGGCTCCTGGCACTCATCAGCCTTCCTCTGACCAGACCTTCTGAAGTATGGAGGAATCCTTTTGGAGAACGTTTAAAAATGAGCTCCGCAAGCTGGAAAGACAGCTCAAAGGGCTGAGCGCTTGGGAGGTTTGAGCTTGATTCCCAGCACTGTCGGGAGTGACCCCAACACTGCTGGTTGTGGCCGAAAAACTAAATAGAAAAATCCACCCCCGCTTTCCAAGTTACGTCCAGAACGGGTGTCTGTTGTGGCACGCTGAGACCTGAGACCATCTCCTCCCTCACATCCTCACTGAGGACAGTAGAGCAAGACCCCGAGAGTGTGCCACAAACACTCCAGAAGGATGGGGCTGGTGCAGCGGTCCAGAGGGGAGGGCATTTGCCTTGCACGCAGCTGACCCAGGTTTGTTCCCTGGCACCCCACAGGGTCCCCTGAGCACCACCAGGAGTAACTGCTGAGTCTAGAGCAAGGAGTAAGCCCCGAGCATTGCCAGATGTGACCCCCAAAGGAAAAAACAACCCACAAACACGCATGGAAGGAAAAAAGGCAAAAGTTTTAGCTACTTAGGGTCTCTTCATAAAAACCATGACCATCACTTATATGTTTCTGTTCTTCCAATGGTGGAAGTTCAAGTCACTAAAACCTCATCTCAATGTATTCATTCATGAATTTTTTCAAGGACATTTTCCTGCATGACTCAAGTTCAGTGGCTAAACTGGACATGGTGGCAAGGGTAGGGAAGCTGATCACTGCTCCCTGGATGGACTGGTGGCCCTGGGACCTGAAGGGAGCAGGCCAGGCCACTGTACCCGCCGATGCCACCCCTTTCTAGTGAAACAGGAAGGGCTTCGGTCACAGGCTCAGAGAGCGCCAGGCTATGCCAGTGGGCAAACACAGAAGGCAGCCCTGGACATTTCTGGTAGAGGCACATCCCAGAAGTCTTTGCAAGACTCTGCCAGGCTGGGAGGAAGCAGCTCAACCAGACTGTGAGATGTGTTTGCTCCTGGGCGTGGCGTCTGACTTCGGCTGTGCTGGTTCCTGGCTGGGGGTTCATTAGGAGCCTCTCCAGAGCTGACAAGGAGCCTCAGCACTGTGGCTGGGAATTCAGGAGGGCCAATTCAGTACAGGATCTCGCCTAAATAAAGGTGGTGACTCGAGGATAACCCGACTTCTTGACTGAGGGAGAGATTGCAGCTGCAGGAGCAAGCCACATACCTATGCTTCTAGCTATGCTCTCAGCCACAGAGAGGTGGGGGGGACCCCAAAGGGTAAGAGTGTCAGAAACTAGTGCAGGGTTCCCAGTGCCAAATGAAGAGCAGCTTCCAGATTGAGCACATATAACTAAAGTTGCTGATAGGAAGACACACACATTCTCCCCCGTCCCTGCCCCATTTTAATGTCTCTGGAAGTGGGACCCATTCCACAGTCAATGTGATAAAAAGGCACCAGCTCCATTATTAACAGCATGTATTTTTTTCCGTTATGAATGCGAGATGCACCGAGATGCTTTTCACCAGCCAACACAGCTTAGACTGGACAAAACACTTGCTTAGTCCCATATGGTTCTGTTCATCTTCAATGACCTCAAGAGGTGAGGTCACCTAAGGATAGGGAATGAGAGGAAGGAGGGTCACCATCCTCACCTATGGATGGGGAATAGGAGGAAGTGAGGTCACCATCCTCACATAAGGATGGAGAATGGGAAGAAGTGAGGTTATCATCCTCCCCTATGAATGGAAAATAAGAAGTGAGGGTATCCTTCTCATCTACTGATGGGGAATGGGAGGCCAGGACAGCTGTGCCCTGACGCAAGTCACATGCCCATGGGCTAGGAGACCCATCTTCAGATTCCAGTATTTCCCTGGATTACAGATCCAGCTTGGTGGAAGGGGGCAGGGGTCACCCATCAACTCCATCCAGAGGTTTCTCGGCTTTGCCAAGCCCCTCTGAGGGAGCAAAAGTCAATGCAACAGAGGCTGGAGCAGTAACACAGTGGGTAGGGCATTTGCCTTGCACGAGGCCAACCCGGGTTCGATACCCAGCATCCCATATGGTCCCCTGAGCGCAGAGCCAGGAGTAACCCCTATGCATTGCCAGGTGTGACCCAAAAAGAAAAAAAAAGTCAATGCAACAATGGCAGGGATGGAGAAATCAGCACTCGGGGATAAGAAACAACCACTAGGACTGGGGAGCACGCGGTGGGGGGCACAAGGACTTCTTTGAGGCAGGAGGAAGACAGACCTGGAAATAGGTGGGCTGGGGAAAGAGCTGAGAGAAGGATCGAGTCTCTGACCTGCCTCACAGACCCTTGCCCTGGGGAGCAGGAAGCAGTTTGAAGGTGGCCAAGAAGCATAGAGTACCCCCAGATCCAGTCCCAAAGCTGGCACTCCTTCTCCTCACTCGTGACTTGCCTTGCCTACTCCCACCCAGGACCCTCGATTCCCAGCTGCTCCTGTCTGGCTCGCCTGTGGTGGACCCACCTCTCCCCTCTCAGCTGAAATGTGGTTTCCCCTGGGAGGTGCTCCCCGGGCTCCCCACACTAGTTTCTGCCACTTGTTCTGGGGTGTTCTCTCTTGGAGCACCCCTGGTGGGGCTCAGAGAACAGTTAGTAGTGTGGGGGATGGAACCAGGTACAAGGCAGATGTCTTACCCCTGTACTATGTATCTGGCCACTAAACAAGTGTCTTCTATACAGTTGAACAGGAAATATTTCTTATTGATTTGTAGAAAGATTTTTCTAATAACTACACTTGGGATAGACGTGCATTTAGTTCATGTGTTTCAACTTTATCTACCGATAGATGCATTCCTATTTACCAGGTTATTTGAATTATTGTAGCTTTGTGCTATGTTCTGATGATTAGTCAAATTCTTTTCTTGTTACTCTATGGAAAAACATTTTCCTATTTATGCCCATGTATTTCTTCTTCCAGCGTAGTTTCAGAAACATTTACTCCATTTTTAAAGAATTACAATAGGGTTTTTCTTTGAAACTCCCGTGAGACTAAAATTTAATTGGAAAAGTAACGACTTGGCCATTTCTAGTATTTTCACAGAGCGCTCCATTTTTAAAAAGTTCCTCAAAATAACTTTCCCTTTATTTCCTCAAAATAAATTTCCCCAGACAAATAGATACATTCTTTTAGAGAATCATGAGACCAAGAAAAGTTTTATCAATTTAAAACTAAGCCAAGAAGATTTAAGCAGCAGCAAATCTGCAAAGACATAAAGAGCTTATCAAACAATATAGGCGAGCAACTCTTAGTCAAACCAAATGAAAACCCATTAAAACTAGACAGATCATGTGCCTGAATGGAATTTTACCATTAACTACCATTTATCCCATTTAATTAGTATTTTCCCGACACACAATAACTTGCACTAAAATACCGTTCTCTCGCCTTGAAATTTCTAATTATTGTTGCGACCCACGCCATTACGCTTCTCCACTGCTTTCTCCATCTTTCATGCCATTTAAGCGGCAAGATTTTCAATTATCTACGCAGGACGGACAGAGATACCTTTAAGGAAGGGGCATGATATGCAACTCAATTTCTCTAAAAGCCAGGAGAGATCATTTTTCGTCAGAACAAACACACTTTGTCTTTTATCATTTTTTTTTTGCAAATAAAGAGTAAAACAGGCTATTTAAAACATCCATTTAAATGCAAATTTTGATATCCCAAGAGAAAAATGCTAATCATTTAAATAGACAGAATTATCACCCACCCTCACCACAAGCCTTCCTCACTAGTTCTAGAAAACAGTGTGTCAGTTCATAGAAGTTGGACTGAGCCAGTCCTAGGTTTCTAACTCCTATCAACAGAAACTGAGGCAGAGAGAGGGATTTTTCGCCTTTTGAAAAAGAAAGTAGAAGGAAAAAATATGAAATACCTGCTCTAAGCAAGAGTTGAAATGATTTCATCCTCCGTCTATTATCTATCCATCCACTGTCCGTCCATCCGTCCATCCATCCATCCATCCATCCATCCATCCATCCATCCATCCATATCCGTTCACCCACCATCCACCTCTCATTCACTCACCCACCCAATAACCATTCATTCATCTCATTATCTATTCATCCATCCATCTCATTTTCTATTCATCCATCATCCATCATCTGCCCATCCATGTCTCTGCTCAATGGTCACAGGTGTTTTGCAAGGAAGAGTAATTCATCCTCAACTGAAGATGAGAAACTGAGGCTCACCTCGGTGTGCCCACCTGTAGGCAACCCACCGAGGGTACAGGCCTCTTCGCCCCCAGACCACGGTGATTCTGCTGGTCCCCCAGAGTCCCACCCAGACTCACCCAGCATCCCCATGCCAAGCATGAATGCGTCCATGGTGTAAGGCAGTCCCCGGGCCCGGCCTCTTGTCCCAGGTGGGAACATGACTTCCTTCGGCTGAGCTTTCTTACATTCTACCTGTTAAACAGAAAGGTGAACAAATGAGATGCAAATGAATTCCACGTAAATGTCAAATGCAGAACCGATCTGGTTACGAGCGGAGTTATTTTTAGCCTCGCGCCTTACTCACTGTAAAAATAGCCTTGCCGAGTAAATGGCCTGCAAAATAAATATTTAAGAAAACACACCGCTTGTGTAAATCCTGCTTTGGAAAAAAACCTACAAGGATGAAATTGGGCTGGGGTGGGGGGAGGGGGGGCGGGAGTCAGGCGAAGGCGGGCCGCGTGGCGTTCGAGCTCAGATGGAAGCTTGGGGACAGAAGGCATGAGAGTGATGGAGGCCGCCGAGAGCTGCTGGCTGTATCTGTGAACAAACACAATAGCACGTGAGTAATCCCTCATGACGGGCTGGCCTTGTCACATGCTCCCGAATGCCACTCCGGCTCCTCTGGGTCTGTGAAGTCTGCTGGCCATCTGACGCGACCTCATTCGTAGTCACAGATGGACCAGCAGGCCTTAGCTCCAAGACTCAGGAGAGGAAACTGAGCATCAGAAGGTTTGTGAAACTTGCTGCAAGCTGGCAGGTGCAGGCTAGAAGCTGGAGGTTCAAAAGCCCTGGGTTGGCAAAGGCACCACTAATGCACTGAGCAGGAAAGCAAAGGTCTCCGTGCTTGGCAGCTATGTCTTCAAGGGGCAGCTATAGTTTTCTTTTCTGTTTGCTTGCTGCCTTCCCCACCATCCTGCCACTTCTTTATCATTTTTCAAAAGTTGCTTATTTTACAGGTGTTTATTTGGGGGGGAAGGTGTTGGGGGCAGGGACACACTTGCAATGTTCAAGGGTCACTCCTGGCAGTGATTGGGGGACCATATGGGCTGCCAAGGATGGAACCTGGGTTGGCTGTGTGCGAGGCAAGTGCCTTGCCCGCTGTACTATTACTCCAGTTCCTTATTTTACAGTCTTAACTTTATCATTAAGTTATAGTTTTCCCCCAAGCCCTAGGGGGAAATGCCCACTGAGGCACCTATGCTGTTTTGACCCGCCTTCCTTCTGCAGTGCTCTGCGCTGCCTTGCTTTTAGCAGGGAGAGAAACTTCCCCAGCTGTTTAGGCAGGAATCTGGCCATCACCGCTAGAGCTGAGGTTGAGGGGAGAGGCACGGCTCAGTGAGATTGTACCAGAGTTTGGGCCCAGAGGGTGCAGAGGACGCATGTCCACGCGGGTCGGCAGCTGCGGAGGGCTTCACACAATGCCCACTGCCCTCAGAGGGCCACAGGAAGGAGGAGGAGCGTGCAGTGTTGTTTCCAAAGGGACGAGCAGCTGGAAGAGGGGGCTGCGGGGCTGATTGTGGAGACGGTCTCATCCCAAAGACTCCGATGAGGAAGATGCTCGTGCTCAGGGCTCGGGGGAGGCTTTAATCACCTAAAAATTTAACTTTTCTTTCTTCAAAGGCACCAGCGAACAGGAGTTACTCTTGCTCTTTGCAGTGTGATAAATAGGCATTAAAAAAAAAACACCAAACAAACAACTTAAGGACAACATGGTTCAGACTTCATGACTGGTGTGTGGGATGAGAAGAGTTTGCACAGGCGGAGAGCTATGGGCACCCCAAAGAGGAATGGACGAAGAACAAGAGGAGGTGGCTCTTGAATGACTCACAAAGAAACACCCCCACATGAGTCCCATCTTTGGTCTATCGGGCTGGCTGTGACAAGAGAGTTGGTGGGAAGACGGGTGATGGAGGTAGGGAGAAAACGCCATGCTCTCGGGCAGCCACTTTCACAGGCTAGCAAAAGCCATAAAGGCACAAACAAGGCCTTCATTTACCGATCCCACCTGTAGGCATTTACCCGGTGACAAGGCCTGGACAAGCCTATTCACCAAAAATATGAAATCTGAGTTCCGGGCTAGAGCGACAGCATAGCAGCAGGGCGTTTGCCTTGCACGCAGCCAACATGGCCAACTCAAGTTCGATTCCTCCGCCCCTCTCGGAGAGCCCGGCAAGCTACCGAGAGTATCTCGCCCACACAGCCCGCACAGCAGAGCCTGGCAAGCTACCGTGATGTATTCGATATGCCAAACACAATAACAACAAAGTCTTACAATGGAGACATTACTGGGACCGCTGGAGAAAATTGATGAACAATGGGAGGATAGCGATAGTGAGTTTGAAAACCACTAAAGGATCTAGGGACATGCTCGCCTTTCAGAGGAGAGAGCGAAGCCCCGAGCTGGATCCCTGGCTCTGGCCTGCGTCACTCATCACTGGGCATCGATGCCTGGTACCACCGCCCTTGCCCCTTCCCACAGCAACAGCAGAAAAGGAGAGCCGATACTGTAAATCCCAAACCGTGGTTCCCCCCTGCTGCTCCGCACAAGGTCATCATGGCTTCTCCGTGAGCGAGGCCTGCCATGGGCCGCGTGGCAATCATCTCTACTGACCAACAAGACACGAATGCAGAGCCAATCACGTGTCCAAGCACAGGGAGGGGCTCGGACGGCGTCTGGTTCACCTGTGTGGACAGAGAACTTCGACGGAAACGGACCCTGGACAGACACACCACCGGTTTCAGGCAGCCCGCAGTCCCCAGGGATCCAGGATGGTCGGGCTCCCCTGACTGCAGAAAAGGAACAGAGCAGATGACGGTGACCGTGGAAATGGAACAAGTGCGCCTCTCACACAGAAAGGAAGCTCCCCAAATTCAGACTGACCACAACGGCAAGCTGCCTGCTTGCCCGTCTGCCCTGCCAGGTTTGTTGCTGCCTGGAGCATAGGTGGGGCCACCAAGAGGAGGAGACGGAGACACAGGTTAAAAAGGGAGAGAACTGGGGCTGGAGTGATAGCATAGTGGGTAAGGCGTTTGTCTTGCACGCAGCTGACCCAAGTTCGATTCCCAGCATCCCATATGGTCCCCCGAGCACCGCCAGGAGTAATTCCTGAGTGCAGAGCCAGGAGTAACCCCTGAGTGTCGCCGGGTGTGACCCAAAAAAGGAAAAAAAAAAAGAAAGAGAACTGGGTCCTCAAGCTCGCAAGCTCTGCAGTGTCCTGGGGTGACACGTACCTGACTCCCCTAGACCCTGTTCGCCGACTCTGAGGACAGCAGCTGGAGAAGCCTCTCTGGCCCACAGGAGGCAGCCGGCGGGCCCAGCCCAGCCCCAGGACAGCTAAGCAGCTCGCTTCCCTACTAATGGCCCTATCGGTGACAATCTCGTGCATTGTCTTATGAAAACCTGCTGCCGGTTCCTAGGCAACCTGATCAACGAAATTTCAGGTTTATACAATTTTCATTTAGGGAACCATAAAGGTTAACTGACTGTAATGGGAGCGTTTTTAAACAAACCCACCTCTTCTTCCTGTCCCCAGAAGGCCGAGCCGCCCCCTTCCGCGTGGCTCTGTCATGGCAGCCGCTGTCGGGGGCTGTGTGAGTCCTGTTGCCCACCCACGGTGCTGGCCCCGAGTGGGCCCCCGAGGCCAGGGGCTGTCGCCTTGGTGCTCGGTGGGAAACCCTCCCCTGTCCGGGCACTTGAGTGAGGGATGGGACAAGGCCAAGGTGGCACCGGGGAGAGCCCAGCCTGGCCTGGAGGTTCCTTTCTCCTATCAGCTCTCAGAACAGCACGGCCCACTCACACACACAGCCGGTCTCTGTGCCAGGACTGCGGGGAGCAGGCACACCGCAGAGACAGAGGCAGAGCCCTGCCCTGCCTGTGCCCGGAGTCGGTGTGGTGGGGGAGGGGCTGAGCACAGCCTCCCCCATTGGATTGGCACAAGCCTCGCCTGCCCCACCCAGACCCTGACTTCCCTCGTCCCTTCGCCTGCTCCCCACAGAGCAAGAGTTGAACCAGTTGCTCCTCGGGCCACGGAGACACAGTGTGCTTAGATCAAGGACAGGCGCCTCCCGCCTTTACAAGAACAGGCTACGACCAGCTTGTTCTCTTCCCGTTACATCAAGGAGGGGAGGCATCACCTGTCTCCTGTCACCTCCCTAAGCCCCACCCCCCTCTCTACTCTCACCAGGCCCTGGGCAAGCCAGCGAACAGCCCGAGTGACAACCAGAACTCCAAGGAGGCACACGGTGAGGGGGAGGGATTGGGGGGGGGCTCTCTGCAGCTCTGAGCACGCACGCGGGCATCTGGTCACACACGTGACGTCCCAGTTAGCCACCGCTGTGCGGCAAACAGCTCCCCGACTCGGCGGCTCCACACAGCCATCCGTCACTCTCAGTGCTCCGTGCTGGAGGGGCTTGGCGGGGCCCCGAGACAGCCTCCAGCCATCCCCCCGCTCTAAGACCTGTCCCGGACACTGGCTCTGTGCTCCTCCATGGTCCTGTCTCCTCACAGCAGCAGGCTGGGCTGCACCCCGAGAGGGCGTGGGCCATGCACCGCCAGCCCCCAGACTCCGAGGCAGCGGTGGGGGGGGGGGCTTCTCAGAGCTCACCCTGGGAGTCTCGGTGCGGTTTCCCGCTGCGCTCACTGGGCCGGCAGAGAGAGACTCGGTGAGGGAGGGAACGTGGAGAGGGGCTGGCCACAGGGGCCGCCCGTGGGATGCCACAGAGCAGACTTCCTCCCCTGGGGGTTGGCTGGCTAGCTGGGTTCTGGGGATGGAGGGTTCTGGAAGCACGAAGGTCCCCCACCCCAGCGTGCCCATGGACAGTCCCTGACCAGTGAGGGAACCACCCTGGCCAACAGATGCAAGATGCCGAGGACCCTCCTGGGATCAGCTGTTTGAGCACAGCTCCAGAGAATCTGATTCACGGCAGAAATGCTCCCTGACCTCCCTGCCCCCCGCAGTGCTCTGATGGGGCAGCCCCGGGTCGTGGGGAGGAGGCTGGAGTGTGAGGCCCACTGGACACCTCTGGGGTCCGGTCCTCGAGTCTCTCCTACCAGCAGTGCAGGACCCTTCCCTGTGCCTCCCGGGAATGCCCATGTGTATGCGAGATCTCTCAGATCTCTGCCTCCCTCTGAGCCCCCCACTCCCGGGCCGCGCGCGTGATGCCCACCCCCCCCCCCCCCCGAGGGAAGATGG